TAGTATTTTTCAGTAAAAATCAGTTTTCCCGGTTCCTTTGCTGTATTTTTTTCTAACTTGAGTAATTTCTTCCTTTCAGTCCAACTAGACTTTATTACTGAACATAGTACTGCTCTTTACCCTCTGCTTGTTTGTTTTTCTTCAAGGTCTATTCTGCTGGAACTTACAAAAAATCTTTTGAAAATACAAGCAGATGATGCCCACAAGATCACCTTTCCTTTTTATTATATTAATTTGTATTTTTTATTTTTCCTAATAGATAGTGAAGCACCACCTCTTTTTTTTACAGAAGCTGTGCAGGCTTTGACCCCTGGGATTTTTCTTGTCCAAGTGCTGCACTGTGCTGTCCTTAATTAGACTCACTCTCTTCTCAAAGTACTGAGGTGAGGTTGGCTGGTTCATAAGTCCTCTCATCACTCTCAGCTCCTTTTATTAAACTCTAGATGCTAACAGTCTCTTCACAGTCTTGAACAGCTAATGCTGTTTTAAGGCTTTATTGAATCTCTCTATCAGAATCTCTGCTCTTCACACTTTATTTCAGCAGATTGTAAGCCCAGGCCTTGCTGAGTCTCATACAAAGTCACTGAAGTCAAGAGAAAAATTCCTTTAACTTTTCCCACATACAGTCCTCAACTCTACCCTCTCCTGCATTTGTATCTGAACTTTAATGGATGGTTTTATCTGCCTAATAGTGTGTCTGCAGATTGTGTGGGGATGGATCTTGATATCACGTTTTGTCCAGTGGTGGTTCTTCTTGACCCAGGGGCCTTCCAGGAAAGAGGGCAATGGGGTGGATGGGGACAGCTGAATAAAGTCCCCAGTGCAGCTCCTTTCCCATTCTAGCACCACTATTCCTCTCCTCCTTTGAAAGCAGAATAATTGCCCCAGAAAGATTCTGCAGCTGACTATTTTGCCACAGAGAAACTTCTCTGTGAATGCAGAGGAAGGAAAGCAAAGCTGAGCTGAAGAAGGCGACAAGTCATCACTTAATTCTTCTAACTGAAAAATACTTATCTTTGTTTCTTGCACTTGTTTTCACATTCTCAGGTTCACAGACCTGCATAATATGTACACTAAGCAAAACTACTTCTATTACTTGAACAAGGAAGTTTCATTATTAAGAGACCCATGTTTTACCTGGACAAATGTTTGTGGTGGAGAACAAGCTCTGAATGATAACAGACCATAGCAGGGTAAGAAGAAAAAATCAGACGTGTGCCTCCTATTGTGCTGCAGCTAGTAGCTCTACTACCAGGTCTGTAGGTCTTCAGATCTCTAGTTTTCAGATCTGTAGTTTTCACTTAGTGGTGACTGCTGTGTGAGAACAATTTCTTCAGGGTGTTTCTTCAAATCACACTATTATGAAGCTGATGTCCCTCATTTCTGCTGCCTCATTCTTTGTGAAGGCAAATGCCAGCACTTTTGCTGGCTCTTATAGCTGGTTTGTAGTTAATAGGGGGTCTAAGTGAGCTGCAGAAAGCCTGGAAGCAGAGACGGGAAGGGTAGTTTCCACCAAGGCCATTAAAATCTCTCATATGGCAGTGGTGGAGGCTGTGGGTCACCAAATAGTTTTTCTGTGTATGGAGTGGTTCCTTCAAATGTTCCTATTTCTTTGATAGGAACAACAGTCTGTGTAGAGAAGGGACTTTGACCAATAAAGGCAAGATGTTTGCTGCTCAGTGGAGAGTCTGTAGGGTGGAAGGGAGGTCAGTGGCCTTTTGAAAGGCTGTTGAGATGAAAGATGGTTTGAGACTACCAAAAGGCTGTTCAGGTGACTTTGCTGATCAGTGTTTGCTTATATAGAGTATACAGAAGTTGCCAAGAGGATGTACACCCAGATAGTGTTGAAACCTTCTATTCTCAAGAGAAGACATTGAATTGTATAGGGATGACCATGGCAGCCTTTGTGTGAGTCTTGTCAGAAGGAAAGGGTTTGGACTTTATATTCAAGGACACTGTCAATCCTGTTTGCCAAAAAAGGACGGTGATAATTACTTTTTGGAAGTTTTTATTCAACAAGTGGGCTTGTTGAATAAAGACAGTCTGTTTTCAGTACTCTTTATAATTCTTTAAAATGTTGATCAATGCCATGGCTTGCCTCTGCAAAGTTCATCCTCAGGAGAGACATGGTTACAAAGAACAGACTTTAGGTGAAGTTGACTTTGGTCACACCAACGATCCAGCCTGGTAGTCTACGCTTGCTCTCTTAGAGAAAAAGTATAAGCCTGAGGCAAGTTTTTCATGGTACTTGTACTTTTTCATGGTACTGTCTGCCCTCCTTTCAGAAAGCCATGCTTTATAGAAGAGCTCAGCTAAGATCAGGTTGCTGGAGTTAGATGCTCCACTTTTGCTTCTGCAAATGCTGCTTGCAGGGGTAAAAATGAAGGGGTGGTGGAGAGGCTTGTTATTCTGGGCAATGTCTCTAAGTAGGATATGTAGGCACAGATGGATGAAGACACTGCAGAGCCCAGAGCCCTTGTGCTGTCATCACTGTACTGACCAGTCTGTACTGACCAGCCTTTGGTATGGTTTTCTCCATTAGATTCCAAACTGGGATGCTCAGCTGCTGTTGTCACATCTCTCAGTGGCTGTTTTTCCCAAATCTCCCCAACTGTACAAAGAAGGGCCATGTGTCTATTCCTCCAGCTACAGATGCAGCCATTTGACTCTTGGGAGAGACTTGGGTGCTGGCCCCAGCACTTGGCTCTTTGTTACCTTTTTGAGAACAGACAGTGAACTAAAGCCAGCTGCCAGAAAGGCAAGTTGATGCAATGCTTTGAGCTATCATAGTCTACATTTAGGAAAGATCTAGTCTCTATCTCATGACTGAGTCTCCTTGTTCTTGTCCTAACAAGAAAACTGATATTGTCACTTGTCTGTTCTCAGTGCTCTGTTGGGCAGCAACTACCATTTGGGAAAGGGGCTGACATTGAAGCAAGAGCACTTGATAGGAGAGTTGCAGAGAGGCACCTATTTGCAGGGGTGGTGGACAGCTTTTCTGCCCTTTCGAACAATGAGGTAGTTTCCACAGGATCATCTGACGTGTCTTTGTCTGTTGTAGAAGCTAAGGTTGAGGCCACTGATCACAGCACACAACTAAATGACTGTTTTTGAGATGCCACCTGGGAATGTTTTTGTGCCCTCAAAGTGAGTGTGTTTGCTTCTGTGTCACCTGACTAAGCAAACAAAGAGCTTCTCAGTTCATGTTTTGTCGAGCCTCCCAGAGCTGCACAGGGCCTAGCTGCAAGGTCTTGTCTCCTTATGAAGACAGTCAGGAATGAATGTCAAATGAGTGGTTCTCAGAAAAGTCCATGGTCACTTTTGTTTGTGAATGCATGTGTCTTCAGCTGGAGTCATTTGGAAGAGAGACTGTTTTACATTCCCAGCCTGTGTGGGACTTGAAAAGGTACACTGGAAACATCCTTGCAGGATTAAATTAATGCTATGATTTCTATATTGACAGTGTTTTGTGTATCTCACCTGGAGATAGAAAGAGTGAAGAGAAGAACAGTGAAGTTCAGGAACAGGAGAAGTGATTTCAGACAGAAATGAAAGACTTTTGACGCAAGCCACTCAATGCTAAATGGTCAAGGCTTTAGGGTTTTGCACAAAGCTAAAGAAAAATTTGCCACTACAAACAGAGCCCTTACTTATCTATTTTTTATCCACCTCCCTTTACTAATTCCTACTGGATGCTCAAGAGATACATAGATCTTTTATTCATTCACCCAAGTCAACATCCTTTAAACTTTACCCACTCTGCTGTGACTGCCCATAGTGGCTGCTGCTCACATGCAGCAAAGCTGTGCGTGCCCTGGCAGGGTGGCTGAATGCCTGCTTATCTTTCTCAGTATCTAATATGTCTTTTGTGTCAGAGGGAAAGCAGGCAGGGAAAAAAGGAAGCAATTGTCATGAAAAGAAAGAAGCAGGGAAGAATGGCAAGAGGAATTTGCTGACCAAGCACAAATGGCTGAATTTCTAGAGTAAAGAGAGCATTTCAGGAAATTAAGCAGCAAAATAATTCATTTTCCCCAGAGATGACCAAATTCCTCTGAATAAACCATATCTGTTGTGTTCAGCCCAAAGCATTCAAAAGTTATGAGTCAGACTGGAAAAATCCCTGAGATTTTTTTTCCTAAAAAAATAATAAATGCTAGATTCCTTTTTTTTTTTTTTTTTTTTTTTTTTTTCTTTCTTCCTGATTATCTTTTAGCATTCAAGTACTAAGGAACTTGACTCATGTTTTCAGGGCTTTTTCAGGCCTCATGCTTTTGTACTGTTATTTGAGGTCTGGTGTTGGGGCTTGACAGAAAATGTCAATCACTGTGAAATCCCAGTCAAATCACGGGAGATGGTGACACTGCATTTCCTTTGCAGTCATTTAAAGCCTTCTCCTACAGTGCAGAAGAAGCCAATACTGCTGCCTTTCCAAAGAGTCTGATTCCCTGGTGTTATTCCCTGACAACAGAACACTGGTAAATCAGTGGGACTGTGTGGAAATCAGAAGATTGATGCTGATCCCCAAGGCCTGACACCCACTGACATTTTACCCCCTGCTCCTTCTTATGCCAACAAGACTCTGTTTGGGCAGTTTTCAAAGGTTGAGTGTATTTGCTACACATAGCTGCTAGCAACTGCTTTTGTGCAGGTGTCAGAGCAGATTAGCATGCATAATTAGGAGTGATAGTGTCTGGAAAGTGCATGCAAACATGAAGCTGCTTTCCAAAAACAGGTTGTCGCTGGCAGAATACCAGCTACCCTGGCATCTTGTTTTTAGAGAGCTTCCACTTAAGTGCCTGAAAAGTTTGCTCAATGGTTGAGGTTTTTACTTCTGAATCTGTAGATTAAGAGCTCAGTCATGACCTGGAGAAGTAAATAACAGAAATCCCACTGCTTTTAATGGGAGTACAATTAACTGTTTATGGCTAGGGAAGGACTGAGGCATATGAGGATACTGAGCACTCAAGGCTCTCAGTCAGTTCTGGAGGAACCAAAAATACTTTTTTTTGGCTTGAGCCAAAGGGGTTCTTCCAAAAACAATCTTGATGAGGAGAATACAGAAGATATGTCTCCCATGTTTAATGAACAGCATATCTTTACTTTCTCCTGAGGGCCAAATATTTTATTCCACCCCTGACTTTAACAGCTTATAGGAGAGGTACAAATGAGGACCAATGATAGTAGTTCAAATGATTCTGATGATTTAAGTAGCCAAGAACAAAGGGAGAGAGCATATACACACATAAATTAATTGAGGTTTTCCACCATGAGCATCTCAGTAGATGAAGTGGAGAGAACAAGAGAGGTGCCTTCCCCAGTGTGGTCAGAGCACACATAGGGAACTCCTCTCCTGAGTCACTCATTGTGCCCTTATTTCCACTACATGAGTAGGTTTGCCTTTATGGCCACCCCCCTTAGTTACTAAGTGAAAAATGCATTTATTTTAAGTCTTCTTCCAAGCATGTGGGTTGCCATGTAGTGAAGACTTAATGAATCTCTGATTCTGTGCTGTGTTTCCTCAATACCAGTGTGTCAGCCATGAAGGCTGTTCGCACAGAGGAATGGAGAGCCTGAAGTAAAATGTGGTTTCCTGTATTTGAACACATGCTGGTTGTCCACATTCAGAATTCAGTGAACATTTCCTCTTGAGAGCTCTTGAGTCTGTCCATTTTCAGGTTGTTTCTGTTCTGAGGCTTTCTGGAAAGAGTGACTTTCAAATCAATATTGAGAGTACCTGCAGCAAAGACTTGCTGAATTTGTAGCCAGGAACATTCATGAACCAGGCTGCCCATCTGAAATATAGGAAGTGACTGTTAGGTAATCCAGGTTTCCCATCAAAATGAATAACCTCGATTGAATTCTGAGTGCTGACTGAATTTATATAAACATAATCCTATAGACTCATTGTTATACTCCTTCCAAGCATGATGCACACTAACAACTGAATCCACATCAGCCTCTGCAAAGCGAGGGCCTACAATTACTGTCCTTTTTCAGATGGGAAATCTGACATACAGAGGAAAACTGCCATTAAACATCCACCAAGCCACATGCTTGTCTTCCTCTACATATTTCTTAAAACAATCTCATTTGATACAGTATATGACTGATGTGAGGGACTACTGCTTGCCTTGCTGGTCAGCCTGGGCTTCCTTCTGCATTATACTTATCTGTTGTCTCAAGTCCTGTCATTTCTTATACTTAAATATATATATTTATTATCCTTGACCTTTTAGAATTTAGTGCAAGGTGTCTTGATGTCTGCATGGAGTCTGTAAGGCCACATCTAAATAATAAGGGCAGCAATAACAAGGGCAAAATCAAGAAAACACAATGAATGAGCCTTTAAAAGATGTGCATGGAAGTCAGCTTCATTTTTTCTAGTTAGCTTTGCAAATTTTAATCTATGTAATTTCCTCAAAGTCATACAGAGCATATGTTGTCAGAAATAATATCCCAGTGACCCAACCCTGGGTTACAAGCAATCCTCCTTCTATAAATAGTTAATTGGAAAAAAAGATGCATAGCTCAAAGACATGACTCGAGACTCCTTTCTTTGTATATCTAGAGTAACTCAGCTGAGACCACCACTAAAAGTTATCTGAGATCAGAGTCACTCTCCAGATAAATTCTCTTGCCAGATCATTTCAAACAAAAAATTTAATAGAGATTAATCATTGTACCACTTTCACAAGCCACCTTGCAGCCAAAAAGTGGTAAAAATTTTCAGTCATTTACGTTTTCCTACCTGCCTCTCTTTTTCTTTTTTTTTTTTTTTCTCCTTTTTATTCATGGAATAACATTATATGTGAGAAACTTATGCTGGTGCTGGTGAATTTCCGAGTCTCAGGACTGAATGAGGTGGCTTTCATAAAGGGAAGAGATAGACACTCTCGAGTGAGATGGGGGAAGAAGGGAGGGGGAAGTGAGAGGATCTTGCTGCATTAAACACCACTTTCTGTGGAAACAATTAGTGCTGTAAGTGTATTCTTGAAGACGAGTGGCTTTACAATGAGATTACTTACAAGCACCATCTCTGCTAAAACGCCCATAAAGAGTACCGCAGTTCTGAGAAGTCATCTTCAGAGACAGTGCTTATTGGAAGTCACAGACGATATTTCATGCTGTACTCTTTCAAAATTAGCTAATGTTTGGGTCATACTTAGCCATCCAAATTGCCAAAATCTCTGGGGCTTTGCTGTAGGGAAACCTGATGGAGTGTAGACACCGCAGATCGCTTGCAGCCCACAAGGCAGTGCCTTAAGGGGGTGTTAGTAATCTGTGGGGGTGGTCTGAGGTTTGCAAACCAGAGTGGGTTCAGATTCAGGTTCCACTTTATCTGAACCACCAAAGTTTTCAGGGTTGCGGGTTAGGTGAAAGACTGTTTCCCTTCCCTGCCCAGCTTCTATAATGTGTAGCATAGGATAGCTGGGCTTTCTAAAACCTCAGGAACTTGCTTTTTGAGTCTGTAAAACAAACAAATCCATGTGTGGCTTGAACCAGAGGCTTTGTTTTAAATCTATTTCTCTTTTTTTTCCATTTTACCCCATATAGCTTATGCCTGAGCATTATGCCTGCCCAAGCATCTTCTAACAGATGTAAGTTAAGAAGAAACTTTACCTTGTGTAGGTTACTTAGTGGTTGCCCACAGCAGGAACCATCTTCTGAGGCAGCTGGCTCTTCTGGAGACTAAGTGCTGGCTGAGATGAATGATTAGATCTCACACATCAATCCCTATGCTTTTGTGTTTGAGCCATTATCAGTTGAGAAGAATATCAATTAAGACTGAAGGGTTCTTGCAGCAAGCAAATTTCAGGGAAAATTTTCAGGAAAATTTTCGTACCCTCAGGATATTAAAGAACTCGGATAGACTTCTCAGGTGAGATGTAGAGTCTTCATCATGGCAGATCTTTAAGAACAAGTTAGATAAATATCTGCAAAAAATGCTCATGCTGATGATCCATCTTTTTTTGTTTATATAATTTGTAAATTAACTTTAACATTTGTTTTATGGCTACTATCATGTTTCCTTGCTTTAGTGAGGCTGCCATCTCCACTGAGAAATTCCATTTCACCAGTTACTATTACATTGGTTGAAGGCTCTTCACAAAACTAATGTTATTTAGGGCAATGCAGGAGAGATGTTCAGACAAATTCCTTCACAGGAGCATCCAGGTGTTCATTGTTATTTTGATCAAACCTCACAGCTCATTCTAGACAGTCCAGACCTTTATAGAATGTAGTCCAGGGCCACCAGTCAGTTGCACATCTACAGACATCATCTGTGCAAAACTAGTCAGGCTAAATTTCAGCTAATACTGGAGAAACTGTCTTCTGATTTCAGATCAGGCTTATATCTGTGAAATATATAAGCAAACTATGCAGCCTCCTAGAACTGTGGTCTGCTGGGGTCTGTGAAGTAGCCATTGCCTTGCTGCACTACTGTGTTTAAGTCAGAGACCTCAAAAAGGAAGGCTAGAGCAGCTTCTATCAACATTGTTTGTAGCCCTGATCTTCCTGGTCCCCAAATGGCAACCAGCTGCTAGCAATTGCTTAATTCCTGAGGTGCTGAAAAAACAAATGCCAGCTCATTTTATGTAGTCTCACTCCAGAGTCCTACCACTGCTGAGAAAGGCCCCAAAATGGAGTAGATTACAGGACAAATCTTGTTCCTGGCTTCTCACAGCCTCTGTTTAGCTCATGCAGATAAGCAGCCCAGTCAAGAGCTCATATGAGGTTCAAATCAGGCCAATCAGAACTATGTTTTGCAATTAGTCTGAAAGAATTTTGCTGCACATTTTGCCTAAAAATAATTTGTAAATTGACCAGAGCCTCTAACGTAGAATCATTACAGATATTTCAGGGATTGATTTAGCATGAATAATTGAAATGTAGCATAGAGACAACAGTCTTTTTAAAATATGTGGTCTTTTTGAGATACTGTTCAAAACAGGCAGTGGTAGGACTTCATTCTTATTCACAGCCTTTGGAGCAGCTTCTCTCAGAACTCAGTGGGTGTCCTCAGATGAGGAAGGATTGGGATCAAATCCTAATTATTATTAGGATTTGACCTTGCAGGGTTATGAAAGCTGGCTTACTAAACTTTAAGGAATTATATCCCACTATACTCTTCTATTCCCAAAGAATAAGATGAACAAAATACAAAGCTAAAATAGCATTAGTTATCACACCTTAATAAACAAGATCTGACTGTGTGAAATTATGAAAGCGGTACAGATTAGCATAGAAAATACGAAAGAGTAGCTTGACTGAAATTAAACAGCATCTCCACTGTTTCTAGATTTATGCAGAAATACAATTGACCTGCAAGATTTTGTGTTTCCACAGAACTACAGGTTTCAATGTGTTTAACACAATTGCTTTTGGTGGTTCCACTGATGGCAGCAAAGACACCTCTTTGCTCTGGAAAGCAATGCTGTAGAGGAGATGGTACAAGCCTTAACTAATACCACCATGCAGAATTCCAGAAGAGAAAACCACTATAAATATTTCTTCCAGGCCATTTCCTGTGACAATTCTTTCAGGTGTAGATTTTTTGCATCACGAATAATGGGAATGATTATGGATTGTAGGTCCTGAGATGAAGAAATGGAGTAGGTGTGGGATATTGTGTAGGCCCTCTGCCCTACAGACTGCAGCTGGTGCTCTGGAGATGCTTTCACCTTACAGTCCACAGTGATTGGGAGCGCATCCAAGAATTTCATGCCAGGCCCTTGTTTAACCATAATTCTTACTCTGTGTGTGTGATTAGCTCTATAACCACAACATTTCAATGTTTCCTTAAGAATCATCTGCCCTGGTATAAAGGCAAGAAGCACTCTCTCCAGTTGGGAAATGCTATATGCTGTGTCTGCATTGTGTCAGATTAAACTGTGTCATATCAAACCATCCACTGCCCTGGGAAGAGGGCTGTAGCCAGGCAAAGGTATGCATCTCCTGGCTGGGCATCTCTCCAGGATCTTGTGTGCTGAAGGCAACAGTTAAGCAAGTGCACCAGATGTACCTGGTGTGCAGGACTGAGGAACTGGAATTAAAAATGGGGCTGTCCTGGAAATATGATGGAGCTGAAGATGGAGCTTCTCTGTTATTCCATGGTAAGGTAGGACAGAATTTCACTGTCATGTTGAATAATATAAGCAGAGTGTCTAATACTTTCAACAAAGAAGTGAGTCCTAGTCGTTGGACCTGAGAAACTGCTTGGCTTCAGGTTAAGCAGAGCACCTCACCTCCATGGGAACAGATAGAAACAGGGCTACTTTTCAGCAACACCTTAGAGCAAGATTACAATTACATGCACTGCCTTGCCTGATGCACTATCTCTTCAGGCTGACACCTGAGGGACTGGAAATAAGAGGTGCTTCTTCAGGTACCCCCTCCAAATTATTCATGGTTCTCGGTAATTCAGAAGTTTCCAACTTAAATCTTGGAAAGAAAGAGACATTAATCATAACATCAGGATTTCAGTTTGAAGTCATGTCTGGCTTTTTCAAAAGCCAGGGCCTTTATTTCGTCATTTAGAGTATTCTGCTCTTTAGAGCATAATAGCTAAAATTCCTGAGAATGGCATTTGCTGAGATTTTTCTGTAATCTTTTAATGCTTTCCAATACCCAGAGTACAATTAACATCATGCCTAATGGATATTGAATATCTGTAGTATTATCCCCCTCCCTCACCTACACTGTAGATGCAGTACTTCCACAGAACCTCCTCTGGGATGCTCATTCGAATGGCATTTTTAATTGCATTGCCTGGTACTGGGAGAGGGGTAGTATGTTCTTATACAGACTAGCTGTGCTGCCTACGTTCATGTGAAGAGCCTAACGACAATCAAACTGACTTTCAGCTGCAGCTTTTTTTAATATTTCCTGTTCTTCTTTGAGCAAAATCCACAGCTTGTCCCCAACTCTTCCTGTTGCATCTACAATAACTGATGATTTCCCATGAAGCAGCATTTCAGATGTAAAAGATAAGGTAAACGATACCTACTACACGTATCCTTCATCTCGAGATAATCTTAAATAAAGATATCAGGTTAGTCTGCCACATATTTCTTGCTTCACTGAGTGCACATTTTAGTCCTGTCCCCAAAAACACTGAAAAGAGGTTGGCCAAATCACTCTGTCTCCCACACCTCAGGTATTTATACACATTGATGAGATCCCCTCTCAGTCTTCTTTTCTCCAGGCTGAACAGATCCAGGTCTCTCAGCCTTTCTTCATAGGGAAGACGCTCCAGGCCCCGTATCATCTTTGCAGACCATGTAGACCAAATTCTGCTCCAAATGGGGTCGGTTACAGCAGAGTTTTGGATTACTCCAAGGATGGAAATGCCACAACCTTTTTGAGTACCTTCACAATAAGTTTTTTGATTGATATTTTTAAATGCAATTTCCTGTGTTTCAGCTTGTGTCCACTGCCTCTTGTCCTGTCACTGGGATTTCCTTACTCTCCCCATCATGTATTTCTATACATTTATAAGATTCCCTCAAGCCTTCTCTGAACAGTCCCACTTCTGTTAGTTTTCCCTTGCGTGTCAGACGTTCAAAGCTCTTAACCATCTTAATGGCCCTTTGCTGGACTCACTCCAGCATGTCTATGTCTTTCTTACTTTCCTTAAGTAGTTGTCAAGAGAATTTCATACTTTTGAGCTCAGGATGGTAGATGTTTATGTTAGTAAGGAAACTTAAGACTATAGGTTCCTAGGTCATGTTCTTTCATCAAGAAAAGTCTTATTCACATAAACACCTCAGAAGAGATAAATGATTCCTAAAAGTTGAGTCTTTAAAAGAAGAAACTTGAAGACAAGTTGGTCTTCATCATCCTCTTGTTATCCTTATTTTAGAGGTAATTTCACCAACTTCTCTATCTTCACATATACCCCTCAACATGGTACAGTCTTCCAGGATCATCCCAACAGGAACCTATCAAGAAACTTGTCCCCATTCTCCTCTTTACCCTTTTAGACCTGGTAAACACATTTCTCATCTTTGCAGTCACATTGTTTCTTCAATCTCTTTTGGTCGCTTCTCCCTTGGAGACCCTGAATTCTGTTTGCCCCTTCTTCTTTTCCTCATCTTGTTAGCATAATGCCAATTTCCACTACCCATATACTTTGTCCAAAGACTTTCTATTCCAGTCTTATTAAACTAGTGTTTTCCACTCTCAGATTCCCAGTGTAATCCATTCCATTAAAGCACAATGCCATGAAACAGGTTTCTTCACTTCTTTTACAGGTAACATGCTTAAAGTTCACATAGTTTTAGGAAACAAACCTTCCTGGAAATATTTATAGTCCCAGTTTCCATCTTTTTGGTTGTCTGATGATTTCATGCCCTCTCATGTTACTTTTTATCAAAACAAACAAAAACCACCAAAACCAACAAACAAACAAAAAAAACACCCAGCACCACTACCAAACACACACACACACAAACAAACAAAAACCCAACCAACCAACCAAACAAAAACACCAACAAATACATTCCTTCTGTGTGGCTGAAAAAGATCAGTTCACATTCCCTCCACCAGGTTGTTCATCCTGTTCTATTCTTGCTGAACAAATTGTCTGGACCTGAGATAAAAATGAAGTTTTGAACCTCATGTACCTAGTCCCATACAAGTTGATTGGGCATGGCTGAGAAATGGTATCTCTTGGATACCAGTTTTTCTCACCAGCACAGGAGATGTTGGTATGGGTGTTTATCACTAGCCACAGGGGTTAGAAATTGCTCACACAAATATTATGCCAATACAGACACACTGAAGAATTCTTCTGCACTGTTCTACACTGATCTAACTGCTAGTGATTTTAGTGGTTGCTATAAAAATCACACTAAAATTGTCTCACTGTTGCATGTCTGATTCAGTTTGCTTTTTCCACTAGGTTGAATGAAGCTTCCATTTTCCTTTCCTTTCATATCTCATTAGTCTTGATTACTGCTAAGCGCTTATTCTAACACACTGAGTCAGTGATCTAATGCTGGAAGCTTGATTTCCAGAAACCAACTTACCAATTTTACCAATTTAATAATGACTGTGGTCTGTTAAATTTAGGAAAACATTATCCACCAAATTGATACAAACTCCAAGTATTTGCTTTGAGTAAAATCTTTGTCCATCTGTAGACCAAACTTATCCTGACCTCTGAGTATAACTTTTTTTTGTGTGTGTGGCAGATTTCAAAATGTATTCTGAGTTCATACTGGAAAAAAAAAAATAATAATAAAAAAATATTTATAAATACAGATTGTGTCAAAATATCCCTTCTGGGCCAAGACTTTAGATTTTCCACTGTACACACCTACTTATTAGACAAAGTAACTCTGCGTAATGGAAGCCACTCTATTTGAATTGGAGCAATTTTTCATCACAGGTAACTTAGAAAGAGATAATGCCAGTTCTTAAGTGCTTTTTACCCCAGTATAGTGGCAAGTCTGTGGGCT